AGGGGCATGAAGATGATCAGAGGGCTGGAGCACCTCTCCTATGAAGACAGGCTGAGAGAGTTGAGGTTGTTCAGCCTGGAGTAGAGAGCCTAAGACCTAAAGGAGGCCTACAGGAAAGACGGGGAGGGATTCTTTATCAGAGAGTGTAGTAATAGGATGAGGGGTAATGGTTTTAAACTGAAAAAGTGTAGATTTACAGTAGATATTAGGAAGAAATTCCTTACTCTGAGGGTTGTGAGGCACTGGAACAGGTTGCCCAGAGAAGTTGTGTATGCCCCATCCCTGGAACTGTTCAAGGGCTGGATGGGGCTTTGAGCAACCTGTGTCCCTGCCCATGGCAGAGGGCTTGAAACTAGATGATCTTTAAGGTCCCTTCCAACCTAAACCATTCTATGATTCTGTGATTCTATGATTCTATGATTAGTCTGATTCAATAAAGCACTGTTGCCTTGATGAATATACGGCTGTGTGCTTCAGTCTGAGAGAGGAAGGTCTGACTTGCCTTATATTCTTCCTTTGCTTTTCTGCTAGGCACTGTATCCTCTGGGACAGAGCTGAGGAGCTGTGCATATCAGATTTACTTTTGGGGTTGATGATGCTGGTGTGATGCATGCTCTGTGCTAGAAGGCAGTAAAAAAGCCCCTTCCCTCAAATCATCCCAAAGGCCAAATCCCTCCTTGCCTTATGGATGATATTGCAAATAAACCAACCTGTGATTCTCTCCTTTACCTTTTATGTGGCAAGCTGGGGGAAGGGAAAGGAGTCTTGGTGATTTGATCCCTAGAAACCTCCCTCATTAGCACAGATCCAGCCACAGAAACAACACTGAGCTCCTGGGAACTGGCTGAAATTTGCTTTTCCCCACCTCCACTGTTGGTGTTCCCACTGCTGGAGCATCCTGGACTCCTAGACCTGGTCTCTTGCTTCGCTGTCAGAAGAAGAACGGAGGGCTTTCCCGCACCCAGAGGGATAGCTGGATTGCACCCTTTGTGCTGGCAAGCAGCAGGGGCAGAATTCAGTAGGACTTGGCAGCCCATGGGTAACTGACCATTTCTCCGTCACTTTTGGAGGTGCTTGGGAAGAACATGGCCAACCTCAACCTGGCTGGGACCCTTCCTTGGGTTCTTCACTCTCAGAAGGTTTTAGTAGGGCCCCAAGGTAACACCATGAGTCTTGTGTGGGGCTGCTGCTTTTGAAGGGAGTTGGCAAGGAAAAGATCTAATGACCTGTTTCTCCTGTGGGCTTGTCAGTCCCACACAAAATCCCAGGAGCTGTGGCTGCCTGCTGGGCAGGGGACACTGCTCTTGGCTGTCACTGGTGGCCTGCTCAGAAGGTACAGACCCACTGCAGATGGGCTGATTTCAGGTCCCTGCAGCCCTTTGCTACAGAGAAGACCAAAAAGAGAAATTTGCTAGAGATGGGGAAGGGCAAAGCTTAAGATTAAGAGAGGAAGTGACAGCAGAGACCCTGGGGGTAAGTGTGAACCTGCCAAAGCGGGGACATTCAGCAGGGTTTTCTGTGTCCTTCAGTTTGGCTTAGGCTAATAAGGAGATTTCTAAAGACGTATCCAGCAGGGGAGGTACCTGTGCTGTGAAGTCCCTGATTTTGGAGATAAATGTCCAATAGGAGATCCCCAAAGTCTGATGGGTGGAATAAAAAGCCTCTGAAATTTCCCATCAAATGTTCTAATTTTGGCCAGTTACAGGGTTCCCCAGGCAGGGAATCTCAGTCATTTCCTTTCCTCCCAAGGAACATGTCAGATGGAGGAGGGAGTGAAATGAAATCTCTGGAGACGAGAGATGGAGAGTCTGGAAAAATTATGTTTCCTGGAGTCCTGGGCACAGCAAGACTCTCAAGAATTGTCAGTGGGGAAACAAGCAAGACAAGAGACAGTTAACCCCTAAAAGGGAAGTTTGCAGGAGCATTGGGTGGGAGGCCAACTCAGCTTGACAACCTGCGAGGAAAGAGGCACATGAAGAACAATCATACTGGCACAGCCTGCAGCGTACCCCTCCTCAGAGCAATGCCAGCTAACTAGCCCGTGCATGCGCTAACCTGTTCCTTGCCATGGCTGTCACCTTGGGCATTACTGCAATGATTTATTAGTGCTATCTTACTCATCTTAAGAAATAATAGAAAGGTTACCCTCTTTACACACGCCCAGTTGTTTCCTAGCCTGTGCCTTACCTCCAAATCTGCCGTTCCCCTTATGTTGTTGCAGCTACTTTCCATCCTTAATTTGGAAAGAAAAGGTTGTGATGGTGACTCTGTTTTTCTGAGTAAAACAAGAAAAAAAAGTTTTCCCAGCTGCGTCCAGAAAAATCCAGACACACAGAGGAAGATCCAGTAATGATTAACTCAGTCTTTCCATCTGTGGATAATGGTATTTCTGGTTGGGGTTTTTATTATTATAATTTATTTTTTTTTATTGCTAGCCTTCTTCTCCCTCATGGAAAGAAAGAATCTCTATTTGATTTGAAATGCAATGTCGCGAGCCATTTTCTGGCGAGTACCTGGATGATGCCTTACATGTGGTTTTCTGCCTTTTGAATGAGGAGGAATAAACTAGAAGTGAATTTCCTGTACTCCTCTCATCTCCCTGTGAGAGGAGAATAATGAGCAAGACAGCACCTTTATAGGCAAACAATTACAAAGTTTATGCATTGGCTATTCTTCACAGATCACTGATTATGATACACTATTATATGTTCCTTTTTTTTTTTTTTTTCTTTCTGATGGGGTGGGCTGGTGAGAGAAGGTACTTTCAGCCACAATTTTTTTACCCAGACAATTAATGTTTGTCTTAGGAAGTGGTGGGAAGTGGCTGGTGCCAGATGCCTGTAACAAGCACTGACACAGAAATGCCGTGATGCTCAATCCATCCCTCCACCCAGGTGCTGCCCTCCTGACAAGGAATAGTAGTACCCTGTGGTACCACGTTATGATGAGAGGCAGGTTTGATCCACGTGGTATGGCCAAAAAATGGGTTTGGCTTGCTGCCCTGCTGCCTCTCTGGTGTTCAAGTGTGGGGCTGCTTGACAAGGCACACCTCAGCAGCCCCTTGGCACTGTGTAACTTACCCATTTTCCACACTTTGTACCCTAGGCTCCTTGCAAACAAGCAATCCACCATAATTTCTGTTTTGCCTTGGGTCCCAGTTTTGCAACATGGCATACCCAAACTTCATGTTCTCCATACCATTACTGAGGCAACCTCAGCTGATAGGATTAGCAGAACACCACTGGTCTTGCAAGGTTCTACTCCCCAAAATAACCCCAGCAACTGCCTGTGCAGTTTGGCCACTTCTCACGCAACTCCCACTTAACCAAGCTGTGAGATCCAGCTGTCCCTCATGGAGCTTTCACACTGCTATCTGCCATGGTCAGCAACTTCTGACGTCACCTCTGCTTTTCCATGCCCTGTTCGCTTAGCTGAACCTCAGCCCGGTGCCCAGGCCACAGCCGGGTCTCCTGCCTGGTGTTGACTCCCCGCTTCCCATTACTGCCCTTGGTGGGGGGAATTACAGCAGCTTAGCTACTGAACCAGGCTGGACGTTCCTGCAGAGCGGACTGTTTGCCATCTTCACAGAGGCTGACTGGTGGGTCCTTGCCTCTGTCTTTTTTTTTTTTTTTTTCACTCTAGGTTGGGCTGTGTCAAAATACATGCCGTATGCTTAGCCTTAAATCCTTAAGCAATTTGGAGCACTCTGTAGATGTGACAAGCCCTCACAACTACCCAGGAAGCCGCCAGTTTTTGTCTCAGCTTTTGCTGCAATCCTTTTTTTGATATAACTAACTGGAAACTTAAGTCAAGCCTTTGGACAAAGAATACAGATTTCCTTCATAAATGCAGTAAACCCACCCCATTTCTCTGCTGATTGCCTGTTCACAGTAATGTTTTGGGATTTAATACGGCCCTCAAGCAGAAAGTGATGATTGATGGTATAAGAAATACTGCTTTCCCTTGTGCAAATCTTAGGACTGGTGGTGCCAAACCCCATTGCCCTCCTCTGCAGTGAAGTAAACCAACAGCTAGATGCCAGCATGGCAAAGGCTTGCAGGATCATCCTCCTCCAGGCTAGCAAATGCTCTCCTCTCCCAGTCCTGGGGCGCAGAGCATATTCCTGGCAGCTTAAATGTCTGGGTGACTCAGGCCAGATGCCTGGATCAGAGGGAAAAGGTCAAATTCTTCTCAACTGAACACAAATAGGGGAAAAAAACCCCAAACTAGAGTGTAGCGGCTGCAGCTGGCACCCAGGTGCCCAGGGCCGGTCGATGGGCAGCTGCCTTGCAAGGGGCAGCACTAGCCCTCCCCTCAAAACTGGCTTTTGCTCCCAGCTGCCTCCTGGCCTGCAGCGGCATTACCTCAACCCTGCTGGGGAGGAGGGAGACACAGCACATCACCTCCTCAGAGACCCAGGCGCTGGGTGGTTTCTTTTTCCACTGCGTTAGACAGCTCAGATGTGGCACAGATGGGGAATCTTCAGCCTGTGCCCCCAAGCTGGCTCCCAGGCCTCAGGGACGCCTGAAACAGATGGGACAAAACCCCGCTGGAGCCAAAACATGCTTGGCATTGCAGCCCTGGCTGGGGGAGAGGGTTGAAGCCCCCCAGCACATCACCCTGCCCCGCTTGGGCACTGCAGTCCATGGCGCATGTTGGCCATGGACAGATGGGCACACGGCAGCATCACAGGGACATGCTGCTCCTGTGGGTGCTGGGCTCAGCCCTGGGACACAGGGCAGAGGTGGATGAGGCAGTGCCTGTGGGCCTCTGCAGGGATCTCTTCAAGACCCAAGCCAGCCATTTCAGGGCATGGAAAACCAGGTTTTCATCCAACTGTTCCCAGAGGACAGAAATTACTGGAGAGGAGGGCTATTGAGCACAGCAGGAGGCAGATCCTGTGCTGCTCCCGGGATGTGTGGGTAAGCATGGCTTGTGGTGCTGGGGAGCCGGTGGGAGGCTTGGGATGGGGAGAGGGGAAGCTGTAAGGAAAGAGCGGGATGCCTTCTGAAGTACAGGGTATGCCAGGCCTGAGGCACCCCAGACAATGGACGCAGTGCAATCTTCTGCAGGGCGGCATGGGTGGAAAGCAGGAGCAGCACTGCTCGGGTAAGTGTGGACCTGCAGGTGGTGAGAAAGAGGGAGTTTGGGTTAGGAGGAGCAGTGTAAGCTCTGCGTGCTGCAGCCTTGTGGGGAGGAGCATGGGGAAATGCTGCTGGTTGGAACCTCCAGATGAGCTGGAAGAGCAGAGGGATGGTGCTGCCACCCCAGTCTTAGTGCCAAACAGGGAAAGCTCCAGGCCAGGGTGCATCATGCTTTATGCCTGGACTTAACATTTACCGTGCCAGAAATGGTGTGGGGTTTTGGGGTTTTTTTTTTTTGGTGTTAGAGAACTGAAAGGCTGAGGCCACCCTGTGCTGGCAGGGAGTGCAGCTCTGGTGGTGAGCTGGGAAGCTGACGGTGGGCAAGGCAGGGCTACGCTTTCTTCCTCAGCTGAAGAGGTGCTGCTGTGTCCGGGTGTGGTACGCTTATGTCAGTGACTTCATGGTGATGCAGTTCTACCACCAAGACTGCCCAAAGCCTTTCCTAACAGGAAAGCAGCTGGAACAACCTTGCCTTCCACCTAACACACAGCTTTGCTTTCCAGTGCAGGGGAAGGAGCAAACATAAAGTGGTCCTTGCTCCAGAAAGCCTATCGTCAGTTTTTATGGGTTAAAAAAAAAATAAAGCTTTCAACTGCTACGGAACAAATCATAAATGTGCTTAAAGTACAGAAACTAACATCCTTCTTTCTCCAGTCTGTCAGCTACTTGTGTAGCTAATTCCTGTAACTGAGCCCATGAGATTTGGGGGTATTTTCTAAAGCACAGCTTCCGACAGGGAAACCCCGCTTTCATAAAAAAGGACAACTTGCGGAGTTCTTGATTAGAGAAATCCTAACAATGTGACTGTGTGCTCAGAAACGTGACGGTGCAAGAGAACTTCCAGTGAACTATGAAAAAAGTAAAAACGAAGAATCAGTTTTGAATGTTCACATGGGATTACTCTGAAGACATCTGTGCTCTTTTGCTTTTTGAAGTCGGGCTGCAAAAGGAAAGCCAGGAGGCTGGAAACGGATTTTGGGTCGGTTTTTTTTTTTTTCAGCAACTGCAAGCCGCACTGAAGGGATTTAGGAGCAGAGCAGAGTACGGCATGTCCTGGCCGCCACGGGCTTTGGACATGTCTCTCCCCAGCGCGGTTGCTGTGGACACGCAGCCTGGGTTGTGTTTTTCACTCTGCTGCTTTCGATAATCCTGAAATAATTCTTTTTTTTTTTTTTTTTTTAATCTTTTTGAGGAGCACGTGGTGCAGGCCGTTCCCCTTTCCCTTTCATTGCGCCCCCCCACCCCCCAATCCCTCCGCCTCCTCTCCCCTCC